CTGGCGGCAGCTATATGTCCCAACAATAATAATAGCAAAAATAATAATAATAATAATAATAATAATAATAATAATAATCGCAATAATATGCATAACTAAGTAGATTCAAAAAAAAAGAACGAGACGTAACAAGAGCGCGTACAGTGGCACAATAAAATGGCCTGGAAATAACAATTCGCTACAAATATCGGTGGGCACGGTACTACTACAAAAGTTAGAAATGGCCGATGCAAGACAGTAAGGGACACTGATTGTCCATCTTCATGCTTCGTTTCAGAGAGTATATTCACGAAAACTGAGTAATACAAAACTGAAATTACTTGATGGGGTCAAAATTTCACTGCTTTTTAAATAAATTGCATAAGACAGCTCTTACACTACCTCGTTCCTCCTTTTTCTTCCTCCCAGCACCACCTCCCTCTTTTTTCCTTTTCCGCTCAGTAAGAAAATCCCCGCAGTAAAATTTAAAATCTCTGAAATTTATCATTTTTTTGTCAATTTTCAATAAGACTGTTCACTACACAGCTTACGAAATTGCGCCACATCTTCAGATTTTGCATGAATTAGCCGTAGCGAAGTTCTAAGTTACCTGTACGTACCTGTAAATTAGCCTTTCAAACAACGGAGCTTTTGCAATTTGAGTGGAAAAACCATAAAAAATTGTGTGGAAACAGGTTTCAACTCAAAACACGTTTCGAATTAGCAAAGAGTAAGTTCATTTTGGACATAAGTCAGATAGCGAAAACTGCCATCAGTTTGCTTCTAAGGAAAGCTCGAAGGAAGGTGTCAATGAAAGCGTTGAGAATAGCAGGTTGCTGTTGAAAAAAATGATACTACGAAACTGAAAGCATGGAAAAAAGTTCAATTTTTGATTAAATGATTTTCCATACTCATCCGAAAATGCCATTTTTTTTTTAAATCTCAGCATCTGGAAAATCGAATTTCATGACAAGAAGGTCAAGGACATCAGTGACAGTAAAATTTTTAGCGCAAGAATTTTTCATTTCACATTTCTATTGTCTTCCTATAATATATATTCCACGGATCCACATTACTGAGTTTGGCTGTTTGCAAAATGATAAAATATTAGCAAAAAAAAAAAAACAGAAATTTTCATGTATGCATATGTGTGTGCTCGAAGGTTCATCCTAAGTTCTGTAATCAAATATTTACGCACTACCCCAGAAAGAGCTCAGAAAATTTCAGCTCCCCAGATATTTTGATTCGCAAAAATTGTCAATGTCAAAAAATCTGACGGTGCCGACTTGTTCAAAAGCGCAATCACATAAAAATCAAATAATCTGTGACTCTGACTTTAAGTCCAGGAAGCCTGTGAATTAATTTTTACAAGTAATACTCCTAAGCGTCATTAATTTTCCTGACATATTCCTAAGCATCAATTTTTTCCAAATTTTACCAATTTTTAAGACACTGTAACATCGTTTCCCGATCTCTTATAAATTTTACAGCGCAGAGTTACGAGCTATTTTTTCTTTTACATCTCACATTCTATATCTAATATTTCCAGCCAAAAAACAAAAAACAGAAGTAGGGACGGATTGAAGTCAAGTTCGTCAGCAAGTTAAAAATCCGACGATGCAGCAACGGTCATAGAAACTACCAAAAAATTAGGTACCAGGAAAATCGTGACGAAAAAACGACGGCCAATCAGTATATGAAATATAAAATTTTACAGTGCTACAAACGAAGACAGTTATCCACCGCAAAAAGAAAAACATGCTTTTCCTGGTAAAACTCGGGCCAGACTGCTTTCGAATGTCCCTGGGCAACATGATTTCGCAAAATTTCGCTCCTATAATCACTTACATTCTTTCTTTTCACATCGAATCGTTGTATGCATCGGCGCGTCATAATTTATGCCACTGTACTTTTATTGCTGAATGTATCAAGATAATCGATCACAGTTTTATAGCAAAACGCATACTGCTCCTGCAAAAATTGCAAAAATTTTTATTTCTTCCAAAAAAACTTATTTGACAACTTTTTTAAAAAATTGTTTCAAAAAAATTTATCCCCTTCATAAACCATAAAATGGTTTTAGGAGTTGGCTAGAACTGCGAATATTATGAAAACCTTGGCAAGTATGATGCATTGGCAAATAACGATATTCTCATGCAGAAAGTCGGCTACTAGTCATCCAACTGATTTAAGATTTGTTAAGATTTGTTCATCCAATTTGTTCAAATTACTACTGGCACACTCAAGAAAGCCAAATTCGACAGCCAAACTTGCCTTAGCAAATGATGATGCTGTTAGCAAATGCTACCACTAGGGCTAATTCCAACTGCCTTTCCTTCACAAAAAAAAAAAAAATAAATACAACATAAGGCGAAAATGAAAATTGGCAGATGAGGAAAAAAAGAGAAATTTCCACTAAACGCTCTGCAAGCTTCTTGGACAAGCCTTTGTGGCTGACAGATTCCTACACAGTGAGTTGAAAGTAAAAATCTGAATCATGCCTCCCGATTTGTCCTTACAAGAAATTAGAGAAGAATGTGGAATACGAAAGGGAAAAACATACGAATTTTGTAAACATAAGTGGTCGCCTTTGTTGCAAACTTCGTACTGTTTGAAATACATCAACACGATTCTCGGCTTTCAGCCTTTCCAGTAACAAAGAAACACAGCAATATACACCCGTTTTGAACGATCCATCCCTAAAATAGGCAAAAAAAAAATTTTTTTTTTTCGACTAATTTCGAGCAGCAGATTTTGCACTGCTCCAACTGGAAAGATGCTTGATTTAAAAAAACAAGACTGCAGTGATACCTGGAATGCAAGATAATCGGCCCAGCATTCTGGTGGTCACTCTGTAACGATAGTACTCGACTTATTAAGTCGATTAGTGATTCACTGGATTCTGGGACAACTTTTTCTGCTGGCCACCACAAATACCCATATTGTACCACCTCACGATAAGTTTTCTCCTGAAATAAACTGACTTACAACGGTGAAGACATATTTTTAGGGAAAACTAAAAGCCGAAGAACAAGTTTTTGGCCTACTGAAGGACAAAAATAAGGATAAAAATAAGTCCCGAAAACTTTCAAATGTTGTCGCTCTCTTCGATACTCCCAGGAGCCTTACTTTCGTCCGCCCCCCTCCTCCGTCTCCTAGTCGTCGCTGCAGTACAGGGCCGACCGGCGACCGAGGAAGGGAACGGGAGGAAAAACTGCCGAAATCGCCTTTCCCCAGAAAGCCGCTCTGGATCCGCCAAAGACAATGGAATAACATCTCCGCCCTGTCTAACAGGTAATACTTGCTCCAGTGACTTTTCTTGCAGCGTAAATAAATACAAAAAAAGTCAACGCAGCCAAGAAAACCAACACAATGTCCCCAAAGCTATATGTTGCTACAAGTGAATTCAGTTATTTCGGCTCCTTAATTCCTGAGCTATTCTCTTGCAGCTTGCAGCTTGTTTGATAGATAAAAAATAAGAAGCAAAAATTTTACGTTAGTGAATTTGTAAGTGAATTTTCTCATGGTGAATGTTGGAAAGAGCTCTTCGCCGATTAGTTTTACCGACATATCACCATCACGACCAAATGTTTTTGTACGTCCCAATTCATCGGGCCAATACTGAAATTTTCAGTATTATTTGGTTGAAGATGAGTAAATTTTCAAAAAAGAAAAAGCAAAGCAGTAACACCTTGCATTCACACAACCTTCCGTTTGTTTTCAAGCATTTCTCAAAAAAAAGAAGCCACTTATAGCCTTGTGGGAAGTTTTTGTTGACATCTGTTTCCATTCAAGCTACTTCCGAGTGCCTCGTTTTTTGTTTGAAGCTGTTGATTCTCCCAGATAACAAAACGAACGGCAAGAACACCGGCAGGCCAACCAGAAAGAGATGTAGCATTGGTTAAGCCAATTAAAAAGTTACCAGCCGCACAGTCAGAGAACGAGACAACAAAGTTCAAATACACGCAGGCTTGAAGGATTACTTTTTCGGTTGGCGAAAATTCACTTTCCATTGAGAGCATCACGACTGCTTTCGAATTTTGACCAGCAATCATACGCCAGAAATCGTAGCATGTCGCTTCATCCAAAGGATCTTGCGCTAAGATATAAGGGTAGAAGTAACCCTGAAATGAACGTTTTACCTATTCATTCCAGCACTTATATATTTTTACCATCTTGATCAGCTGTCATTTCATGGTTCTTTTTTTTTCCTGCCTTTTCACGCCACAACCAACAGCAATCTTCTCTATTTTATGTCTGTGGTATTTGAGAAATTTTGGATAGAAATAACATTCTAAAGAATCCTTCCGCAACACTGTCCCATTACGATTGCGTGGAAACTTATTAACAATTCACTTTGTCTATCTGTTGCCTTTCATTTTTGTCATACGATCAGCCCCATTTGAGCTTTTTGACGTTCATTCAACACTTAGCAGGGCAAAATACCAAAAATTTTGAAAATGCTGAAATAACTGGTATGAGGTCCATCGGAAGTGTTGTTAAATAATTTCACACTTTGGATACAGTAATTAAGCCGCTCCATTCTGAGATGCATACCTCCAGTTAATATCTACCCGTCTTATCGAAGGTCGCCAAACTGGCCGTTTACTTTTTTGTGGGTACCAATCATCAGTACCGGGTATCTGGTCATCAACAAGACGAGCAATATACTCTGACCATCAAATTCCACTTTCTCACATGATATAATCACGCAAAAAGAGTTAAATACATTACAGGAATCCCGCAGTGGTTCATAAAAAAAACTACGTAAGTTTCACGTGGAGTTTTAAAAAATCTTCGAAAACCCTAGCGAACAGATACTGTGGTACCTTGACAAGCGAAGCATTGATATAGGTGGTGTCGCTAACACTTCCAACAACAGTTGAGAGCACAATTCGGCAGTGATCAAACGGCACAGCATTATCAAAACGATTCTTCACCACATTTTCCGGTTTATGTGCAAAATCACATGTTCGCGGCGGCTCCAATGAACGTTCCAAGCGCTAAAATTCTTGGAATTATGGATTATCCAAATTCGCATTCACTCATTATCATCGTTATTACAATCACTGGTACCGTTATTATCATTTCATTATCATCATCATTAACATTTCATCATTACTTTCATCACCATCCTGTCAATATGAAAATTTATATGTAGCCGATTGGGAAAAAATTTCTCAGATAACAAAATCTTGAGAAATCACTGTTATTTCTTGCTAAAATCACAAGTTATCAATTCAATTAAACGATTATTTCTTACAGAAATCCTAAAAACGCTTAACTTTCTTTTCCGCGTTCCTGCGTGTTTTTCAAAAGAAACAGCTATAATACACCCTCGCCGACGTGTGGTTGCTGTTGGCAAAGTACTACTATTCCGTCATGCGCCACGATCTTCATTGTTTCTCAACGGAAATGAAATACTAAGACTATTTCAACAAATGACTAATCCTACCTTGTATTCAGCTTCCATGGCTGTAGGTACTTTCTCTGTGGACGCAGTTTCGCCATTTGCTCGTTGTAGCTTTGGCGTGGAACGTTTTACAGCAGCGGCCAGTGTTGTTGCAAGACTTGCAGATACGTGTTGCTGGCGCCCTGAATGCGGTTGCTGCTGCTGCTGTGGCTCACAGAGGTTGCGATAGTGCTCATGGAATTGGCTCACTTCAACATCCGTCTCACCAAACATATACCATTCTGCTAATGCTTTGTAGATATACACATATTGTTCCTGCAACAATAATGTTATGTGCTTCTTCGCTTTTGCACTATAGTGGATAAAGATACTAATAATAATATATGGAAAATCAGATGAGCAGGAATGTTTCGATCCATTAAGTCGTATGCATTTCTCTTCAGCATCACTGCTGGACCTTATCAGCACGATAATTGTGCTATTGATAAGGGATAAAATAAAATAAATTTGCATAAGAAAACAGGTTATAATTTGAATCTTAGAACCCAGGTACTGGAAAATTCCGGTCGACTTTTCAAAAAAAAAGACAATCGATGAGCACCACAATTGGAACTCGTCAGTACGGCAGTCATGGCGTTGATGAGGAGTAAAGTAAAACAAAATAAATTTACATAAGAAAACAGGTCATAATTTGAAACTCGGAATCCAGGTGGTTAAAAGTTCTGGGCGATTTTTCAAAAAAAAAAAATAGCCAAATGCAGCTAACTGACTTTTCACCTCTTTCAAGTAAAAGAAAAGCTTACATAATTTTGCACCATGATATTTCGCTGTTTTCTCATTTCAGAGACAAATCCAAATACATCCGCTTTGCCCTCCTCGATGCACTGATCCAGCAGGCTATCAATTGCAATAAACGTACCTGTCCGACCAACACCAGCACTGCAAGAAACCGAAATATGCATAAATCAGTTTTCTGAGAGAAAAAAAAGCACCGAGAACCTCCCCCCCCTCCCCCTCACTCCCTCCCTTTCTCTTCACAAGTGATATTGCTTTGCTAACAAGAGCTGCTCAACAATAAAACTAACGATCATTCAAGACTTACATTTCTGATGGATCCCAGTGAAACAAGTCGAAATCGGTCTGACTCTATGGTACACTTAACGGGAAAATGGGGAATGTAGTGGAACTGAATTTACCGCCACTACGACAAAGCCATAACTAATAAAGCAATAATAAACAAGAATAAGGCAAACTTAGCTGGCAGACACCAATTCATAGTGATTCGGAGGAGGGTGGGAGGAGGGGAAATGGATTAATAATAACAATAATAGTAATGATAATACATCAAAAACGTTATTAATGACAAAAAATAATAATAATGACGATGATAATAGTGACATAAATGATGATAATGATAATGGCTAAAACAACAATAATAACAACAATAAAAATAATAATGCTACTTGCCGCATTTGACAAAAAAGAGAAATATGCGAGGATTACGGCCGAAATGAATTATAATTCACCTGCAGTGAACGACAACGGGACCGTTGTTGTAGTCGTCTAGTTTGCGTAGCTTTGATAAAAAGCGCAGCAAACCAGTTGTGCATTCCGGCGCTTGCAGATCGTTCCATGAGGTGTAATGATACTGTACAACTTTACGCACTTCTACAATAACATATTTCTGTGCCCCATCTGTTCTTTGAAACAATTTCAAAAAAAAAATCTTTTTTTTTTAAAATTTTCAGCCAAAATTAAATTTTCAACCACAGCTAACGTGAAATCTCAGTAAAACCTCAGGAAACCTGTAAAAGAGAAGGTCTGTAATTGTGATGAAAACTACTATACCGTTAACTCCTGGCCACTCTGTCCTAAGGCTATTGGGTTTTACCTACGTAATTCACTTAAAGTAACAGAAAAGCTCAAGTTCATTAAATCTTTCGCCGGAGTTTCATCGTCAAACCTCTACCGTTTCGAAAAAAAGGTGAGTTTCAATCCCTTAACTTATAATGGAGAAGCACGCAGTGCTCCTTATCTGGGAAAAAATTGCGTTACCTGGCGTTTTCCTGCCGAATTCGGTTTCGGCATGAGCATCGTTCAATTGCATGCTACTGCTTGAACGTGAATTTCTTTTCGAGTTCGAAGGCATTTCATTAAGGATCGAATCGATCGAATTTCGTGCTGATGGTGCCCTGAAAGGGGAAAAAAAAACTTTTGAAACCCTAAAAGATGCAAAAATTCCTCTAAATCTCTTCAAGCTTTGTGCATTTACAAGTTCTGAATAAATCCAACGCTATTTCACGAAAAAAAAACCTCAATTCACATCCTACTAGCCTCAACAGTGCTAACTTAAACAGTACGATCTCGATCAGGATAAATACCCGAGATCCTCCAGCTACCGTGTGATGTAACTACAGAGTAAAGAGTAATCCACATTTCCAATTTTCCTCTTTTCACATTTCTTCTCACTAGCAGTACATCCGTGCTTTCCGGATCCTCAAATCCAATCGTCCAGGTCGAGCTCTAGCTTTCCGTCCCATGTCATTCCAGTTCTCTTGTTATCGCAAGAAATACCTTGTATTTACAATAACAGCCGAAGGATCGGTTGCAGCAGTATTCGGGACATCGTATGTAACAGTTGCAAGTGTTCCAGATGTTGCACCGTTCGCTACAGTTGGTTGCACTCGGCATACTTCGAAACTGCGTATCGCATAATCCGAGTAGTAAATCGACTCCACCGGACGTACTTCCAATTTGTCGTAAATTTTTGGTGCATCATCAGGCCAGTACTTTGAGCACTGACACTGAAAGAAGCAAAAAATCCTGGACAATAAAGTCGCTTTGGTATACCAAGGTTTTGGGTGGAATGATTATGTTCAACATCTCGACATTCCAATATCTCAAAACACCGCTAAAGCCTTGTGAAATATTTTTCTGTCCCATTCTACCACTGTCTTCGGATGAATTTTCAAATCATGGTGTGCTAACCACTACACTACCGTCAATATTATAATGGTATAAGGAAAACAACAGAATGGAGGGACTGAAGTAACTGCCATGTATAAAAAGATATGTTAGGATTTGATCTATGTCTCATCCCTTAGCTGTAAACAAAGGCCAAACTTTGAGAAAACAGTGCGAGAGAGAGTGGAAGAAAAGAGAAAGATTAAAATTAAAATCTCAAAAAAATTTGATTTTTAAAAACGATGACAAACCCTGCTTCTTTCATAAAGATTCGCAACCATTACAATCACTCGTACTTTGTGCTCCCAAATCATGCGCCAAAAGTCATCAGTGCTTGCATCAACGGGACCCTGTGAAGCGATGAATGTTTTTCGACCTTTATAACCCTGAAAATAGATTCCATCAATTATATTTAATATTGTTTATGAAAAAATTTCCCAAAACGTGTGACAAGCTACGTGATGATTACAGCACGCATAAATTTCATGCTAAATAGTTGAATTCATTCATCACTGGAGAAACGATCAATTAATGATGAAGAAAGAAAAACTGTCCAAACTAATATTATAGAACGTTAAATAATCACTGGAATGCTCATTATAGCTTTGTAAAAAAAAACGAAGCTTTGAAATTCCCCGTTTCTACACCGAAAAAAAAACGTTTAAGAAAAATTTGATGATATAAATAAAGCTGTTTAGTTCATTTTTGAAGCACAGAAGAACAGCCGAAATTTTTCATTTTAGCCTTTAAAAGAAAAAAATCCAAAGTTTGAAAAATAATTTCACGGCTCACGGGGTGAAACACGCAAACAGACTCTTTTTATATTTGCCATATCATCAAATTCTGCATTCACACTACCCTTTTCTAGTCCCTTTCTTCCTTATTTTCTGTTACAAAATTTGAAAATTTTTTTTCGAAACCGAAACAATTCCCAAGAAATTTCGTTTTCCTTCAAATGAAAAGAGGTTCTTGGTGTTCAAGTCGCCAGATTTTTTGTACACAGGTGGTTTTTTTCTCCAAATTCTTTGCCAAGCCTCGGATTTTTTCCGAGAACCCGGACCAAATTATTTCCGATTAAAAAAAAAACGAAAGGAAATATTGGTATGCTAGTATCAAGAATGCCATGATCGCCCGAACAATCGGCGTAGGTGTCCTATTTTAGTAAACTAACTAGGAAGCTCCTATACGCTGGCTGCAGCTATGTCAAGCCTTCTATCCTGAGCAACATGTTTTCTGTTAATACCCTCCACTTGTTCGGTGTATGTGAGTCATTTTCCTCCGAAAGCCACCGAATGGTCCCTTACTTCCTCGCGGTCTGGTAAGATATGTAAATATATTTTGAAGTAAATATATTTTGAAATTATATTAAACAATAGAACGGAATGCAAATTTTCAAAAAAAGTTTTTCCGAACCAAAAAAAAACACAAAATCACAAGAACATAGAAGCGGCAACCAAAACAGCAAATTACTTAATTTTTTGAGAAAAGGGAGAATCGTTGTGGCAAAAAAAAAGAAACCTTCACAAAATTAGCATTGATATAATCAGTTGATGGATCATTTCCAATAATCGGCAATTTTACACGAGTCGCATCGAATGCTTTGATGTCATTGTAGCGGTTTTTATGAGCATTTTCGCGTCGTTCCGACGCGCTTGATTCCATCGTTCGATAGTTCGGCAAAGCCTGCAAATTTTCAGTGTTTAACATAAAAAATAAACATATGCAAATCGCGAATAGCGCGATTACTAAAAATTATTTTAAAAAAAGGACGGAAAATTCCATTTTTCATATTATTTTCTTTGGCCACCGTGAGCAAATATTTTCTAATTTTCATACTATATTTTCTTATTTTCACATTATTTTCATAATATTATATTATTATTTTCTTATTTTCATATTAGTTTCTTTGGCCACTGTGAGCAATCATTTGGTCATGTTAATCACATGCTATTGCTTATCCTTGCAATCCGAGACAGATAACCGAAGAAAGTCCCGTACAGCTTCTGGAAAACATCATTAACGGGTTAACAAGTAGTGCGGGAGGAAACTGAGCAGAATTCATTGCCCAATCATTTCGAACATTGTCACTTACACACCATGATGATGTACTTTATTGAATGGAAGAATATCACTATAATTTCAGTTCATGTGACTCTCGTAACAAATTAATAGGATAGAAAAAAAGGGCCATAAAAGCCTAGCTAAAATTAATCGTTCTGAGCAGAGCTGACGAGAAGGTCGAAGCTGAGAAGTGGTATTTTGGGGCTGTAAGTAGGCCAAAGCATACCTTATGAAGTAGTGAACCGTACTAACCAAAGGAAATTCAGCTTCGCTGAATTCCATGTGTTTTAAGGCGGGAAGGATAGAATTTGATAGTGGATGGTAGCGGAGAAAGCAGCTGACTAGATAATGTGGTGTAAACCTTTTGACATGTAAAATGGCCATGTATTTGGAGTATGAACCCTAATAAATATCAGCAGATGTAATGAAGTGGTGCAAAAGCACAGGACAAATACCTCAAACTCGGAGATGAACAAGAAATTGCTGTCACGATGCCGGATGATGAATTCGTTGGGAAGATCCTCTACTGGTGTCGCATGAAAATGCGGCTTCAGCAATGTACGATCCTTACTTATCGGGCATAATTGCTTGATCATTCCACGCCTACAAAACATAAATTATAACCTGGGACCTAAAACATCAACCGAGAATTTCAACGACAAAATTACATTCATGTTCGCCACATCAATAGTCAAAACAACCTCAATATTCACTTCCTAAAAGGGGCGGATGCTCTTAAAAATAGCCCGTATGTTAGCCAACCTCCTCCCCCTCTGGCAACACCCCATGTCTCACTTTTTCAAGGGCAACTTAAAAGCAAGCTGATGGCGAGTTTGAGCCTCTGA